GTTAATTACTAACTTCGCTTTTAATGATTACACGGTCGCAGCCCTACTCTATGCTGGCTCGTACAAAGACGTCACTAATTGGAGCAGCCAGGTGCTTGACCCGCATTGTGCAATCATAGAGAAAACGAGATCGCATGCGAACTTTTTTAACTGTGCACAGATAAAGACAAAAGCGCGCGCAATAGATTATTTTTAAATGCCACAGACAATAACAGTTAAAAACTCTAATGTGTAACGTGGAAAGTGGTTAATAACGCTATCGATCGATGTCGAATGACGAGATGACATTAACGATGTAGCTTTTCTTTCGTATCATTGATTGACAGACGTGCTTGTTTTTATTGCACAGGTTATAGCGCACATTTCTCGAGTCATGGGCATGGGAAATAACGTTAGCAACACTATCTTTGACTAGGGCTGCCATCCGTCCGGGATTCATCTTTATCCTAATTTAAAAGAGGGGGTATCCAAAAGGACACTTTTTGTGTCCGCAAAGGTATAATTGAAAGATAAGCCATAAAATAAAACAAAATCAACTTCATACAGCTAAATCTGACGACGCAAAATAGTTTGAAAGAGCCGAAAATTTGTTTTAGTTGAATAAATCGCAATTTACGTGAATTAAAAATAATGAAAATACATTTTTATTATTATTTTTTCTCAATTTTGGATTCACATTGCTATACTGGAAAATATTCCTAATGAAATATGCTGAAAAAAAAAACACTTTAAGTTGTGGTTTCTTATCCCATCTCAGAGTAACAGGGGTAAAGCTGCTCAAGCATTTTCATTAAAAATATTTTTTTAATTTATTGTTAAATCAGTAAATTTAACCCAAATGTCCGAGGGTTATTACATTTTTGTCCGGCGTTCGGTAATCTTGATAATGGCAGCCCTATTCTCGACAGACACTGATGAGGTAAAACCTATATTAAAAGTCTTCAGTAACAGAAATAGAATTGTACGTTTACACACATTTATTTTTTCGTTTGTCGTTGATTGATATTTTAATTAACTAAGTGTAGTATGAAAGTTCAACAAAACACCGTGTACCCAATGAGTCATTCCATGGTGATATCACCACGGGAAATTTAGGGTAGAGTTTATGGTAAACGTTCGCAAAATTTGAATTTTTTGAGAGGGGTGAGAACAAAACTTACAAGAAGACGTATACACCAAAATTGTTAAAATATCTTTCAATCAGTATTGTACTAAGAAATAAAGACCAAGTAAGCTGAAAACTACATCATATATCAGGGAGCGCTACAAAGGCACATTATTTTATTTCTGTACAGGAAAAAAAAATACATTTACATTAATAGAGGAAGGATTAATAGGAGTAGAACACCAATGAAAAAGGGAAAATGACGTGTTCCGTAGCGGCTAGCGGAAAGCTCATTTAAGATAAATTCTAAACCTTCCAGAAAAAATTGTAAGTTATGCTTTAAACTTAAATTTATTCGTACGTCGATGTTGTTACCATATGCGTTCTATAGCATTGTGCGGTACGGACACACTTATTGCGACTTCCTTTATATCTGCATCAATTGCGCCCATAACAGTAACTAACTAAGCTATATGGGAAGTGCTTTAAATAGTTTATTTACATATAAATTTATTTACCGTAACTTAATCCTACTAATATTATAAATGCAGAGATGATTTGCATGCAAAAAAAAGGATAATAAGTATGAATGTGGAAATGGGAAAGGAAATGTAAGGCGAAGGAGACCGATGAAAACAGGCCCCGGGCTTAGGTGACTGGCGCCCTGGGCAAATGGTCTACTGGCAAATGACTACCTTTATTAGTATAACGTAAAAGCAAATAATCTATTTTACTTATATTTTATGAAGGAAATAACAAGAAAACACGTCTTTCATACACAAAACTGTAGACATTTATTTCTGCATAATTTACACTTCCAGCAAAGATTACAATTTAAAATTATATTTTTAAGGCAATTTATTTCTCTCATTTATTTTTATTATCTCTTTTATTTTGTGCCCCCAAAAATTTGGCGCCCTGGGCAAATGCCTAGTCTGCCCATTTATAGCCCGGGACCTGGATGAAAAGATGGTCAAGCTGTGTGTAAGATTTTACGTATGAAGGGAGGAAATGTTGAGATGGCGACCCCTTGAGAAGTATGGAAGAAGAAAACATATTGAACCGACCACAAATATGTAATTGGGAAAAGGGTTACAAAATTATGTTCAGATGATTTTTTACAGGCAACCTTCAGCAAGCAATCGTTTACTAATATGATCGAGGTAGATTGTGTGCATTAAAATTCTAAATTTGAATAATTGTTTTCATAAAGCAGTAAAGCAGCATTGATGTAACCTCTAAATGAAATGATTGCTTAACAAAACTTTTTACTTTTTTAATGACAATGGGTTTTCTACTGTACGTAGGCAATATCAATGCAAATACAGACTTCCTTTACGATAGTTGTTATTTATGGTTTTACAGTACAAACGCATGCATGATGAATATGCATGCATGCAGCTCGCTAAACGGTTAAGCTAATACTGTATAATAAGGAAGAGGTTTATTTACAATGGGACCGTTACGAAGGGGCATCAGTCAAACTCAATGGAATGTTTTTCATAGTTCAACCAAAGATAACTGTTCGTGACATATATTGATTAGGTACGGACTATCAGATCCAAAATTAAGTAGCTAAAGAACTTGTATTATGGAAGTCTGAAACAAAGTAGGTACCATAACACTCAGACCGGAAATCGAACTTGAAATCGAACGACACCTTGAAACCTGTAGTTACATTGATCTTAACCTAAGCTTATAAAGAACACTGTTATTATAACATTGCTATTAACAAATTGATTGATTGTTGTAGGTATTATAGTAACGTCTAAGAATTTGTGTACTAAGTATAATTAGTACCAAAAAACTGACAATATCTAATGATTAGATATAAAGCTAAAATCTCGGAGAGTAGCTCGGTGGCGTAGTGGATAAGCGTCTCGGCCCGCGATCGTAGTCGTTAAGCAACTTTCGGAAGGGTCGGTCACGGGATGGGTGACCAAAAAAAAATATTCCTCGAGCTACTCCGTGCTTCGGAAGGCACGTTAAGCCGTTGGTCCCGGCTGCATTTGCAGTCGTTAATAACCTCCAATCCGCATTGGGTCAGCGTGGAGGGTCATGGCCCATCCTCCTTAACCATCCATAAGGAAGGCCCGAGCCCCTGCAGTGGGGACGTAAAAGGGCTGGTGATGATGAAAGCTAAAATCTGTTGTCGTCAACTAGCTGATTTCCCGCAACTTCGCCCTCGTAAATTAAAGCCTACTAGCTTTCCGCCAGCGGCTTCGCCTGCGTCGTCTTGTATTATACATAAAAACCTTCCTTTTGAATCACTCTATCTACGAAAAAACCGCATCATAATCCGTTGCGTAGTTTTAAAGGTTTAAACATACATATGGATATAGGGACAGATAAAGCGACTTTTTTTATACTATGTAGTGATCTCTACCCGCGTATGAGGCAGCTTAGCTTCCTGTAGGTAAAAGAATATTCATGAGCGGATCCAAATTTACGATAATAAACCCCAAACAAACAAAGCTAGAACCTTTACCTCTTTCTAATATTAGCATAGCTTTATAATTAATTCTATAGTATTAAGGTAATCGTTATTTTACGGGATTGCTATCGTTATACGATGTACTGTATTTTTACCGAGTCCCCGATATTTGGGCGCTGTTGTACACGCCATGATCATATCTATAGATATTCCTGCAAATATGAGTGTTGTTATGTACGCGAACAGTTTTTTACTTGTAAGCCTAGCCTAGATATCAAACCGGAGTATGTATCAACATATTTATATGATATTGTCCAATATATCACATACCAATCGTACTTGCAAGATAACAACACTCATATTTGCAGGTAACATTGTCAAAATATATCTTATAAGATAGTGAAGATAAAAATGCCTTATGCAACGCGTTTGCTTTTGTGATCGAGCAATAAGAGATATCGCGTGATAATTATCGAACGATAACGGCTTAAAGAAAGCGAATGGGCCAATGGCGGAACACTTTTACTCGATAAACAAAAACATGCTTCCTCTGTCATTCACTACCATACACGCGACGATTCGTTGTAAAAACAATAGTATTAATATAGTTTTAAATTAATTAAATCTAAAAATATTGCATTTAAATTCAAACTTTTGTTTAATTAATGATATTAGAACTTCGATACCAAAGCCAAATCTACGAGTATACTATTAAATTAAATAGGAAAGATATGATTGTTCGTTTGCTTCGAATAGGTTTTGGAACTACAGAACTAATTTTAAAAATTCTGTTACCGGAAAGTCACATCGTATGCGGGTGACATAGGTTATAATTTACACAGGCGAGGTTGCGGGTTTATAATTAAAGCCTTAAAACAGTTATTGTGACTCCGCAACAACAAGAACAATAAGTAAATACAAACAATTATGTTTCAAAAGGAATAGTTTCGCACTGTTTATATTGTTTGTCAATAAAGATCATGAGTAATAATATTAATAAACAAAGTTGTTATTTATAGGATTCATCATCACCAGCCTGTTAATGTTCCCAATGCTGGGCCTCACGCCTTCCCTATGAATGAATCGAATAGGGAGAATGGGCCATGACCCAGTGCAAATTGGTGGGTGTTATTAACTGCAGATGCCACCGAGAGCATCGGCTCAACGTGCCTTTCGAGTCATGGAAAGCTTGAGAAAATAAATTTTTGGTCATCCGTCCTATGACCCTTGCGAAAGTTGCTTACCGTATCGTATCGCAGATCGAACGTTCTATCTCGAGCCATCGAGCTTTATTGGATTATAATGAACCAAATAGCAGTTTATGATCATACCGAGATCTCTTTTACGACTTGCACCAACATCGCGCTTCAGATACCATTTACAGGCGATGGAAAGCAGTTTTCTTGCGAACTTCAAACCTGTTTCTCAATATACATAAACAGAAAAAGATTCGAAACTCACTTGATAATTCCATCTTCAATGTAGACGTCAGCGTCTTCCATGCCGTCATCGTTGACAACCCTGCCATTTTTGATCAGGAGCCGATTCTGCGAGCTCTGAAACGAACAAAAAATCAATGAATTTTTCGGAAACACAATAAAAACTAGTTCATTACTCCGTAGGATATCTAAGTTTTTGACAAAAAGGAAATGGTCTCGCTAAAATGTAACTTACGATTTATTTTTTACCATGCCCCCGTTCTAAAAACTTAATTTAAAAACGTTTCCTAATAAAATTTCGGTTAGTATAAATTCGACTCTCTGCTAATAAAAATAAAATACAATATATTTTAAAAGAAAGCAGTGAGGCAACGAAATGGTGCGGTATTTCGATTGTCTTCCGTGTGAAGTTGAAATAGCTACGATTCTAGATTATAACCAAAATAAGCTTTGTTCTACAAATTCTTTTCTCCGCGGTCTATTGTTAATACAGATTTTATAAGATTAGTAATCTGTCAAAGATAAAGCAATCATACTTTTTTATCGGAAAGTATTTGAGTTCTTATTATTATCTGATAGAGCAGATCCATGCATCGCATTCCGTGGCCATATTCGGCATTTAAGATAGTTCCAGAATAAAACCTCAACCATAGACAATCTACATAAGAACTTACTTTGATATTGATTCCCGAAATTACTGGCTTCTCGACTGTCATTTTTAAAATAAACAAATTTCACTTGGATTTAAATTTCGAATTCGCGATCCGTTTCACGGCTATGCCGGCGCGCGCCTCGCACGGGACACAGACTGAACTGGAAATGCATGTCCGAAAATAGAAGGTAACCAAGTTCCCCTCGCCTTTAGACGTTTTCACTACTAAAACAAGATGATCATTATGGGTTCGATAAATATGTGTGAAATGTTTATGTATCACCATATTCGGAGCGGTTTTTGCATTATTTTTAATTATTTATTATAATTTGTACCTGTCTTACTTTTCTTTAAGATTTAAGTACTAGTTACACTTTCACCGAAATAAAAATTTAATTTTAAAATTTCTCTGTGACTTATCAAATACCTTATTGGGAACAGTTTATTCATATGTAGGTGTAATTTCATTTTAATTAATTTCAATATGGAAGTAATAGATGCCACAGCTTAAATATATTTTAAAAACAATATTTTTGTACTGACCGTACCTATAGACAAATCTTTAATTTTTAGGTGGTTAAATAGATTGAGCTAGAAATACTCATGGGATGAATAAATAATTTAAAATTAATTTATTGCTAAGGGTTGAGTAAGAAATACAAATAGGTTGAGTATGGATAAATAAGGAGGATGAGACGTTATAGGATGAATACCCAACAACCCCTTCATCCGTATATTTTCATGTTTTTTCACTACATGTTTTTTCAATGCGACATAAAATCGTTTAATAAACATTTCGACCCACAAAGGGTGGATTCAATAAAGGCAAGCAAAAATAAATTATAATGTGATCTAGTCACGCATATATCGCTGAACTAGTGGCAAGAAAAGCAAGACCAAGGACAAAATATGAAGTGTGCTTTATCAACCTTCTTCATAAGCATTTAATAAATAAAAAAGTAACAGTGACGCAGTAACCAGCATCAGGTGACCAATTATTTTGTTACTAAAAAGGGACATAATTAAAGGGTAAGGGACAATGAAAATAATACAACCATCTGTGTCATTTTTGTATAAAAAACGTGTAAAAATAATTTAAATTATATTTTTATTATTACCAAAATTACAATAAGAATTATTATATAAAACGAAGTAGTGATTAATTATGCACAAGGAATATAACCGGGGTATTCATATTTTTCAGATGGACTTATTTACTCCGATAGAAGTTGGTGTGGTGATACCTATGAAAAAAAATTGCACACATTCTTTAATTTACTTTAGTTACCATCGTAGCCTACACAACTGTCATCTGCAGGTCCCATCGCGTATTTACTCTTACGTCTATTTCCTTTTTATTGTATTGAATCAAATGCATTCAACATTCAATACTGTATTGTTAGATACAGTTTGTACGTTCCACACATCGGGTTGAGTTTGACTGACTGATTGACTTATATCTGACATCCACTGTTTGTTTCGAAAATCCGCAACGCGCTTGCATTTGATCATGTTATTACAAATTTACTTACGGTTTCCGAAAACGGGTACATGAAGTTTGTTAAGAGAGGACGGAACACCTGGTCGTAAAAAGGGACTGTCCCATTCAAAGCGGGATGTGTGGTCACTAAGCATAAGGCATTCCGTCCCCTCTAGCCAAAAAGCTAGCTTATTTGCGTGATCTGATCAAGATATCAAAAAGCAATTACCCGCCTTTTCTTTGCATGAGTATACGCTTAATTTACATGTACCAAATTCTCATTCTCTTATTGGAGAAGCCCCATGCTGCTGTGATTAGCTCGTTCAATTTGATAATGTGTAGATTAAGAAACTTTCAAAAAAGCCTGTCATTGGACGGGTAACCAAAAATTTTGTCACACTGAATGAATGCATCTTGGCCTATTGTTACTTGTTCTATATAATAGGAACGCGGACAGTTTTTTACTTGTTATATCGATATTTATGTAAATATTGAGGCGCTATAAAAAGCGTAAGCACTCTTTACTACATAACTTTAAAGAAAATTTTATTTCGCTTTCTTAATTGCTATTCCGACTTCTGATTTCTATCATATAAACCTATCGGTATTCTATTAATATTGTCCCAAATTGTTAATAGGCTCATAATGATATTGTTAATTTTATCTATCAAAACGGCAACTTATTTCTGCTCAAGATATACCTAACACTGGGCTATTGACAGAATGTAGTGTAAACATTATCTCTGATAGCCAAACAAAGCGTAAAATATCAGACTACGGCGGCCGCTAAAATTATTTGTATAACTAAAAGCTTAGTGCGTATTTCCGTTTGTCCTAGCAATTTGAGTGTAATTTTACACCACGGCCCTATCTTGTATGACTACCAGTAAGTACTATTACCAACCATAATTTTCACGCTTATTTTAAATAAATACTATTTATAATAATGATATTTTATTTCAGAATTCTACAGACGTCGATATATAACTCTTACAAATCAGCATGACATTGGGCCTATTTTATTTATCTTTGAACGAAAATTCGATAAATTTCGAAAAGTTTTTTATTTTTCTTAAAATCATATCCGTGAAGATTAACCGTGGTAATGTCAGGTCCTACGTCTGTTGTATCATAATTTATAAATTAATGCTTTTCTATGGAGTCGTATCAGTATTTCGAAAATAGACGAAATAAAATAGGTCTCCAGGTTTTGTGCTAATTGAGTAGTAAGTTCTGTGCAAGTTGTAAAAGTGGATTGTCGCAAATGTTTTTTTTTAAAGGCAACAAAGTGTCAATGTAACACAATTGGGGTTAAAAATTGATAGATATTGCAATCAAATATTTGGTATGTGTGACATTAAAAGGCCATAAAATACTGAACCACTGAAATCAAATTGATTGTGAGCAAAAGAAATTAAAGACCAAGTAAACAATAATAAAAATAGAGAAAACTATTTTACATGTAAGTAATATTTACTTCATTTCATTACGGCTTGTTTTGAACGAACAACATAAAAAACGATTGATAAATATGGCCATGTTGCAGACATACTGCATTATTCGACATTTCACATATTAAGTCATCAGCTTAAGAACAAGAACTGATGTGTTAAATTTATTACATAATAAATGTCACAAAAGCCAAATGACGATTCGGTAACCGTTTAAAAAATACCGCGACAAATCGACAAAATTAATTCTGTTTTGTCACTTGTAACGCTCTCAATTGAAACAATGGCAATCGCCTAATGAGCAAATAATGCAATTGTGCGTTATGTAAGGATAAAAGTGTTTGAGCAAATTAATTTACTTGTATTTTTATCTAATAAGATAGATCGTGGACTACATGAGTTTTAAAGAGGTTAATCCCTTAGCTGAAAAATGAGTCTAGATCTAGTTCTCCTCTTTCGTGTTCGGCGAAAATACGGGCTATGTTTGCCAAACGCGAACAACGTCCTATTACGATGCATGTATTATCAGTATTGAGTAAAAAAAAAAAAAAACAGTTCTTGTTAAAAAAAGATTAGGTAAATTAGAATTAGTAGAAATATCAGAAATCAATTATTTAGATAAAGCTTGTGTTATAAAAAAAACTAAAACCCGACTACAGCTAAATCACACTCTAAAAAGTTTAAAACAAGAAATGTATTTTATGGCGATAGCTTTACTATAATTGCAATGACCAAAGGACAGTGTAGTCGTATGGCACTGATCATAACAAAACAAACTTCTTATGATACATTTGTCCAGTTACGTTACGTTATAAGGGAATAGATTAACATTCTTCTTACATACACATACTGGGCAAAATCATAATCCTTCTTTTCGGGTAGTAGTTGTAGTCGGGTTAAAAGAACCTATTATGTACTTTTTTCGTTTAATCATGGCTACCCTAAATTACGTTGATTAGCCACAAGATTATAAGCATCATTGGTTTTCCAACGGCATTTCACATAACAGCAAACGTTTTAATTAGACAATGCTATAAAATCACGAATTACACAATATACCCGCGACAAATACATTGTTAATTTGCCATTGGTTAGGAAATCGTCACAGAATACGTAACGTTACTCCACAGATGGCTCAAGGACATTTCGACGTCCAACAATACTCGACTCCAAAACTGATAAATACATTGAATGGATAACCAAAGTAATATATAAAGCAAATTGCACTTGATAATTTTTCATATAAAATGTATAGATAACTCAACTATTGAGATTAAAATTAAGATAACTATTTGACATAATAAACAAGTTTTTAAATATTAATGACTAGTTATAATTTGACAATTAATAAACAAAACTAAAACACCCGCTTGAATGCTAGATAGTGAGTAATCAAAGAATATTTTATAATATATATGTATTTTTTATATAATAATGTCATTACCATACACATTTGTCATTACCGTTTACCGCCGCTGTGAGGTATATTTTTGTATTTCTAATTTTAAATACAAATGTAAATATTTAATAATCT